TAATTGAAAAAGATCGACCAATCCGCGCGACGTTGGGAGGAGCGTTCTACAAATAGCCAATAGCGAACGAAGTGTAACGCTGGAGTCACGCGTGCCTAGAAACTGCGTAAAAATGGGATTGGTCGATTTTTTAAAATTAATTTCTCAATAACACTACTTTACAAAAAAATAATTTTTTTCATGATTTTAAATCAGATATAAAGTGTTTCTACATTTTTGGATGCTGAAACCATGCCACAAGCTAATTTTCACTAGCACAAGTTTTCTGAAATAATTGAGGTTTAATATGAAAAAAATGGCTTTTTCAGTACCCAAAAATCTATAAAAAACACTTTGTCCGGTTTAAAATAATCTTTGGCTATAAACTAGTGTAATTATTGCAAAGATCGCAAAACAGTAAAGGATTTTTCTAAGTTAAACACGCTCTCTTACACGAAAAGTGCGGCGATTATTACCGCGGATACCCTGTATACATATATATATATATTTTTAAATATGTTTTAATCTTCATTAGTAGATTATTACAGATTTTGTATATACATACAACTGTTGCGCGCATTATGTAGGCATTCGCCGCTCATGCCATCGTCATAGAACACATGAGGGGTGGAGGGGTACATAGATATAAAGGGACAACATTAGAAACGACTATCTGTGAAAAGAATATTATTCATCTTAAATAGCACAGCCGCTTTGCTAAACCCGCGTTTTTCACATTCGCGTCAGTGGCTCGTGAGAAATTACAGTATCGTCGTCAGTTAACTTAACTTCCTTTATATACAGCGGAACAAAGTATGACTAATCAACATCACGAGTCAACATCGTGTACTTATGATAGGGGTGTGTTCCTCGGCTGAGTCGACAATAAATTCGTACAGCGAACTTTGTATGTAAAATAACAACGGCATTCCTTCTTAACGGATGTATTTCTCGTTAATTGTACCGGTATATTCGACTATCTAACGTGATGAGATTTACAGGGAATTCCGTAGAAATGTCTTAAGAGAAGAATATCTGTACGACGTATATATTTCGTATTCATGCTCGAACCGTGTAGCAACAGGTTACATCATGTAATCGATTGGCACGTATAGATCGATCGGAGCAAATTTTGTGGCATTTATAGACTCTCGTTTTTTGAGTTAAATGCACTTGCAAAATTTAAAGAATTGAGCAATTTTTTGTCGTATCATCTATCAGTATTTTTATTCAAGATATAATTATATTTTTTAATAAGAGACGTGTAAAACTTATATTTCATACTCGTGAGAATCGATGTTTTAAATCTCGTACACGGACCAGCCGTGTTAAAATTAATCATTTAATGTAATTGTGAATTTTTAGAAAAAATTAATTTTTTCTTCTTTTGTTCATAACAATGAAATAAATTTCCGTAGATTTCGGGAAAAGTCTCACGATATTTTCTCAGCCGTTCTCGCAAATTTTTTTATTCCGTTGTTGCTAACATAAGTTCGAGCATAAATTAATACGCGTAGGGAATTTCTCGTCGTGTATATCCTAGCACACAAGATTTATAAATATTAACAGCCCAAGTTAGCACGTTACGTCATCCACGTCTACTCGCACGTAATCCACGTAAAGCACATATCGTGCAATTTAATATATATGATATAATTTGCGTTTCTGCTCGTATTTACCATCGATCCTTCATCAGCGGTATATGTCAAAATCACTTTGATATTATTTTTCTCGTGAAATATTCCAGGTCAACAGATAAATACATTAAATAATTATCACAATTTATGATTGCATTTATTTGCATCAATAAATTTGTCATGTAAAAAAATTCGTTATATAATGTTTAGCAAAGAAAGCATAAATGTGACATTACGATTAAATTTTGTTTCCTTTTTTTGTTTGATTTAAAAATAAATATAAAATAAAACGTAAGCGCGCATGGAATCTAGTATGTTGAAACTTACTATGTGTTTATTTTCAGTTACTAGGGATAGAATCAAGTTGAATATATAGAATGTCCCAGACTTACCGGATTAACTGTTAATGAAAGATTCCTGGGATCATGATTCTTTCTAGTAAAAATGTCGAGACACCAATAATTTTTGAGTTATAAGCAATTGAAAATAAAGGGTTTCACTCAAACTAAGCTTTAGGGAAATAAAATATTAACAAAACCACATTCTTCAGTTAATTTCAGATAGAATTTACGTTAATAGAATTTAGTTATAAAGGTACATGATAGTAAAAATTGGGAACATCCATAAAATGATGGTCTTTCTCTCGACATTTTCGATCAGGTAAAATTATTTCCACATGATCCCAGGAATCATTAACGGGTGATCCAGAAAGTCTAGGACGTCCTGTATCCTTAAAAATCTAATAATCAATTTCATTTTTCAGGATTCAATTAATACTCATAAGAAACAGATGCAAACAAATTTGAACTTGTTCGAAACAGATTCACATACAATTAATTGTTCGAAACAGATGCAAACAAATTCAAACTTGTAAGATATTTGCGATTTGTTCTCTATTGCTGCACTAATGAACTAGTGTAGACTAGATGCAATAAATTAAAGTGAGACAAGTATATTTTGTTTCACTCTAACTTACTGCACCAGTTGTGCACTAGTTCACCAGTGCGGCAATAAAGAACAAACACTTGATTCCATCAGTTACCATAGTGACAAATAACAGCGATTATAGGGTAGATCGAAGGATCGAGGAAGGTCTTTCGAATGACGTGTTTTCCGACGTGTTTCCTGACGTGCGTGCGATATAGACACAGGTGTACGACGGACACCTGGCCCGTCGATGATGGAGGGATGGAATGTGCCAGTTTATAGGATCAATATGCTTCATCAAGTTGGTACGATAGATCCATTTCCATCGTTTTAACGAGAGCGATTGGAACAAGGGAAAGATTATTGTTATACTCTTGCGTGTATGGCTGCCGCTCATTCCCCCGTTACGGCGAAAGGTTGTTGGGTTGTTCAAGGTTTTGTGCGGTGAAGTCGAATTTCTCTCTCGTTCACCGCGCCCCCACGACGATGTTACGTCGATCGACTTTAATGGCTTCGACATATTGTAACTTTGCGGACCTGGCGAGGGTGTTTGCCCTGTCTTTTCTCATATATAAACGCGCGAAACGTATCGACTTCTTCCGTCTCCGAGCGAAATTCCGCAGTCGACCGTGTCCCTCGAATTCTACCACGGTCGAACGATCTCGCGAGTTACATTTAAGGGTCGATTGCATCTATCGGTTAACCCCGGGTGTTCGTTTTCTTGTGTATATATACTTAGTAGGATCGAGTTTCGCTGGAAAATAATTGATTAATAGCAAATAGTGATGATTGATATTGATGTAACCAATTTGACGATTAACTATATATATCGATAGAGGTTCAATTAACAAACTCTGATTAAACAAAACTTTCTCTGGTTTCCTTATTTTAACTCTCTACGATCCTCAACTTTATAAGTTGTTATGGATGGAAAGCGAAAATGTAGTTAACCGCGATTAAACGACGATACTCGATGTTGATGTAATCGGCCCCGAGGCGTTTCGAGAGAGATCGAATTGCAAGTACCAGGCGTAGGATGACGATCTTATTGTTTGTTCTAGGAGTATCGATTCTCGGTGGAATCGAGTCAGCGTTGCTTTTAAGTGTCACTTGTGATTGCTTGTTGACTCGGGTTGAGAGGTGCGGATACTCCAGAACAAGTCGTTTTTCGATTCGAGAATATCCATTTTGTACAATCAAATAATTCAGTCATACTTATCATTTAAGACACTTATATATTAAATTTATATAAGAATACAATGTAGTGTTTGCTATATTTTTAACAATTTGGAATTAATTAAAAATATATATTTTAAAATTTTAAATTATTATATGTATACAGGTGTTTTTAAATAAATGCAAAAAACTTTAGGAAATTATTTTTTGTCAAAAATTAAAGAAAGTTTTTCATATAAGAAAGTATATGTATTTCTCCCTATATTCATCTTTGAGGAGTTATTTTTCTTTCAAAGGGAGAAATAAAAATTAAGTTTTTAATTTTTTTTCTCAAATTTTTTGAACAAATTGAAAAAATTAAATTTGGTGGATATTTTCTAATAGAAAAAGAATATTAATATTTTTATAATCTTCCTGTATTGTTATAAGAGGATGAGATTAACAATCTCTATCAATTTTTTATTAGAATTTTTATACTGGAACATGATAATCTAAAAATATACATTAGAAAGCTTGATTCTTTTAGAAATTTTTTTCCTTTTTTTTCGTAAAATCAAGTTTTCCAAAAAAAATAAAAATTTAATTTTTATTTTTCCTTTGAAGAAATAAGATCACAATTCCTCCAGGGAAGGATAAAAGAGCATGAAAAATCTCCTAAAATTTATCGCACTTATTTAGAAACATCCTGTATATTTAATATTTTAATTTTTAAAATACAGCAAAAACTACATATTTTATCGAAAATTTTGTACGAGAAAATTTGAAAAGTTTTTGGAGTGTTTTACAAATTAGAGAATTGTTCGATATGAGAGACCAAATCACCTCATCTAAATGTATTAGAAAAGTGCTAGTTTGTGTAAGTTTTGAAAACGAAGATGCCTATCCTTTTCGCAATTCTTGCGCGAAATATTTTAGTAGACGATTTCTCGGAAAGAAGTAGATACGTTTCGCAGACAGCGAAAAGTCGAGATGAAATATCGAGATGTTCCGCTTCGATGATGAAGACAAACGTTACTTCGGACGTTTCGTGACGATATCATGCTGTCGAAAAACCTCGCGACGGCCAGCGTCCTCTCGTCGATGTTGTCTGATTTAACGAGAGAAATTGATTTTAATTAATAAAAATGCGTATACGGCAAGCTATTATAAATTCTACTCAGATTAATATAATTCATTAAAGTTTTAAGCAATGTAACTTTTGAATCACATATATGTATATAGAAATTATTTCTTAAGATAATAAAATTCTATAAACAAAATTCAATAAAATGTTATAAATAACCGCACCCGGGAGTATATTTATAAAATTTATTTACAAAACTCGTCATTACTTTTGAAGACTACTCTAACTTTATTTACGATAAGAAGTCTATCTAACAAAATTAATTAACGCGCGGCGGATAAGAATGAACTTCGAAAACAATCAATTTCTCTCATTATCCGACATATAATCAAGACGTTAATCGATTGGACGGTACCGAAGGAGTTAGGACGAGAATCGTCGCGTGCAATTGCGAAGTTTCTCGGATGTTTACAAGTCGAAGGATGATTTGAGCAGTACGAAGGTAACGTTATCAGCGAATTTGATTATTGTCGAAGAATCGTAATGATAACGAGCGCATCGAGGTATTTTTCTTGTTTTGCCTCGATCGTGAAAATTCTTCGGAGAAATCCAATGTTTTCTCTTCATCAGAAGGTAGGTCCAATTGGTCCGCTCGCCCAAGCTTCCAGTCCGCTCTCAATCGAGAACCTTTTATAATTCGATCAACGTAACCGGTTAGCATCTATAAAGACAAGATGCTAGACTGCCGTGGGGGCACGCGATTGTCAATGCCACTTTGCTTTTTGCGCGAATATATCCGCGCGCAAATTTTGCGCGAAGCAGATCCCCAGAATCTGAAAAAAGCAAGAATACTTCGTTCATTTCTTATAGCTACGGAAACAAAATTGTTCTTAGCACTTTCACAGAATATTCAATGTTTTAAACATGTGTTTTTTTTATGTTTTTTTTTCGATTTACTTTTCTATAATAGAACAAAATATGTTTCTCTTATCATATATATTGGCGAAGAAAATGTCCACCGCGGTAAGAGAGGCGCTACTGAAGCAAAACAAATATGGTCGCTGTGAATATACAATAACAATAGTTTAAAGTGTATTTAAATAATAAAAAAAATTTTTTAACGAAAAAGAGATGTTATTGCGGCTAGATACACTCTATGATTATATAAAAGCTACGCCTTCATCAAGGAATATAATCGAAAACCAGAATGTTATATGTATAAATTCCGGCATGATTATTATATGTACGGTGTAACTATGAAAAGTAAAAAAAAAATAGATTTATATTCTTTATATGTGTATTTAGGTTAGATCTACAAATAAGTGCCTTGACATCAGAACTTCAAAATGTGATCACTGGCACATTATTAATTAATTTTTCAAATAATAATAAGATATAATATTAGATGTACATTCGCGGCGGCCATTTATGATAGATCATGCGACTACCACTATATTGTCGTATTGAATTTTTAAGCCCTGAATACATAGAATAAGTCATAAGTATGTTTTTTATAAGCGCGTGTTTCTAGATAAAAGGTGTGAACAAATGTTCCTATGAACTTATGAACATTAGATCGAAAATGCTTTATTATCGAAATAACGAGCACAAATAAATATTAATAAGTAATGACTTTAGTTGAAAGTTTCAGATGAGTATATTTTCCTTTTTTCAAATAAAAATATATTTTCTACACGTTGCAGTAAATTTATAAATCAATACTAATAAAATGCTCGATTGAATTGCCTCGAGCAATTGACTTGATTGTAGGTTAGGTTAGATTTTGTCTCTTATTGTACAGTATCTACATTAAAACTCAAATCTTTTTCGTTTTTTTGGATCGTAATAAAAAATGTGTGTTAATGAATAAATATTATTCCAAAATCAAAATACTAAAGACATCGCGAAAAGAAAGAATCCAAACATTTTTGGTCTCATAGAAATACTCATAGAATATTTGTTCATACTTTATATTCAGGAACACGAAGTTTTAAAAAATATTTTTGACTTACTTTGTATATAATCTTGGAAATCTTATAAATAATAAAATATTCTTCTATAAATTTTCGTGGAATAGAAAATAAAATGTTTCAATTATCTATTTTATTTATAAAATTATACTATTTTCATATGTTCGATGAAAAAAGCCATTGACATAAATGAATATAAAGCATTGAATTATATCTGTGAAAATGATAAATGTGTAGTATCTACATATTTAGCTACAGTTTACATAAAAAATATATATGTAAAAGAATTGATATATTTTTTAATTGAAAGTAAGTTGCTCAATTTACATACATTTAGTTGCTATTATTTAGTACTTGTAGTTATTATTCGTGCTTATATAATATAATTAGATACATATATACATACACACATATATAATTAAGAATATCTGAATAATTAGATAACATACATTATACTGACAATGAGAGATAAAATTAATTAAATCTATCGTAATATACAACGAACGATATCAACATGCTTTGGTATTTACTCGGCACATACACAATAATAACGAGAATTTTGCATCGTAAATAAGCAGTAATTTAAAATCCTTTAATGAAATTTTAGAAGGTTCAATATATTACGTTGAGAAATGCACTCTCCTAGCTACGTATTACTGTGTATCTCGCATCTACTTTACGTCTTCTCGCGTGTAACGCGTTACGAACGAGATAGGTAACAGTCAACGTCGCAAGCTAGAGATAAAGTCTCACCTTATTTCCTCTAGGGCATGCAACGGCTCTAATAATGCTCTTCATAGCAGGCCGCATCGGCGAATATACTACGAGAAACGTGCTAAAATGTGATTTTAACACTTTGAATCAATGAGGACAATCTCTCTCTCGACCGACATAGAATATGCATCCGAATCGCAAATTGAATATTAAGCAAGTTGTAAAATTTAAGTTTTCCATTATTGAGCAGAAATTCAAAAGAATCTCGATTATTTTCGAATATTCTAAAGAAATATATTTAAATAGAAAAAAATTTTTCAAGACAATATTCTATGACCCGGAATTGTCATTTTTTTCTTAACATCCCAATATTTTGTCAAAATTTTTATGTCACTGTTTAGTTGAGTCGAGTGTAAAATGGATTCAAAGTGTTAATTATTCGCGGAGCGAGCCGACGGATTTTGGTACGTACTCTCGTTGAAAGTTCACCGATGCGTGTCGAAGGTTAGCTTGAAGTTTGTACTTATATTAATATATATTTTACCGGCTTATGTGTACCTGAGCAAATGCAGTACCAACCACACCGCTGGCAATCGCGAGGAGATTACGCTCCATCCACTCTTCGCCGGCCTGTATGCAACCTTTTTCGTAAATCACTTTGGCGACCTCAAAGTTCTGAAAAAAGAAAAGAGAAACGGCTACTTGGCTTACCGTTGCTTACTGTTGCCCCCCCGGTATGCTATTATTATTGGTTGGTTAGGTCCAGGACAATTCGATGACGTTATAGTTTCCGTGAAGGTTTCCGTAGAGAAAGTGAAAGGATAACTTCGCCGTGTTCTTTATGTAACTCCCAACGTTTTTATCGTCCATCGTGTCAATCGGTTTGCTATTTTAATGCGCGTGTGTCGCAATATGGTCTGTCGCGACGTATGTTGCATCATTTAAGCAAATTGCAGTAATAATCAACGCTGGATTTGACTAACGAGTTAAAGTTGTAGCATAAATGCTCTTTACTTAAAGAGCATACTCCATGTTTGATATATTTCGAATTATTATATCAATTCGGTATGTTTCTCTCTATTTTTCTCTCTTCTCTATAGATTTCTTTCTATGAATACGTTTCTGTTTGTTTATGTAATATTTATAAATATGCTGAATTTAAAAACACAATATACACCTCCTTTATCTCGGCCAATAGAGCCAAACGCGATGTTATTGCGACAATTAAGAAAGAAGCCAGGCAAGCGGAAGGTCTCGGGTTCGATTCCCGATTCAGCCGACTTTCGGACCAATATTTTTCTCGCCTATTTCTTTACAGGGGAAGTTAAGAGAGGAATAAAGGGAGTTTCTGAGATCCCAACCATAGGATACAAATTCCTTAGTTTCCAAATTTTTTTTCTCAATTGTCGCAATAACATCGAATATGCTAAATGTTTACTAATATTTTAATACTTAATGTTATACCTAGAATTATTTTACTGATAACAAATTAAACAGTTAAAATGTGTTTTCTTTCTTTTCCACATTATTGTTTTTAAAATATTCCGTGTGCTCAATCACTGATTGGTTACACTGATTGGCTGCCATTTCGTATCAGCCGATACAAAATTAGACGACATATGTCAGACTCTTTTACTTTTAGAGACTGTAGGAAAGTGCTTTTCAGGAGATTTTATATTTGCTTACTTCATAGATATAATATGTAACAGTTTTGAAACTCGAATTTATTAGTAAATTTTAGCTGTAAATCGGTTTGGCAATACGCGTTTTAACTGAAATAGATTATTTAAAATTATCATAATGTTTTCGGACACCCCGTATATAATAATGTTGAAAAATTACGATTGAAATATCACACGCGGATGCCAAAGCCGCTTACAGACCCGAGTGAAGATAAAATCTGCGACATCATTAACTCTCAGTCGCATCGCACCCGAGCGAAAATCTGCGAGAACGCTGAAAAGGTCAGACCATCCTCTCTTTACATCCCGGGCTCCGCTCCGTTAAGTGAAAACTCAATAAGATACTTGGTCCGGCCGGCATTTTCTCTTCGTTTTCCACGATTCCGTCGCGAAAATTACATCATCCGGAGAAGAATATTACGGAGTGAGCTTTAGCGAAGAACAGTTGGTAACATTACAAGAGTGATGCTCTTAAAGAAGAAGCGTCTCTCTCCCTCTCCCTCCCTCTCCCCCCCCCTTTCTCCCCCCCTCTCTCTCTCAGTCGAACAATAAATTCTACCGCTCAAATCTTCTAGCGAGTTTTCGACTGATAACTTCAATTTCCAATCATATAAAGGTAACAATCTAATTTATTAGAATTTGATTGACGGGAGGTTATGTTGGAAGTGCATAGATCGAGCACCAAGACCGTAAAATGGTTCCTAAGGAAAGAGGAGAGAAGAATGGAAGAAAGATTCCAACGTGGGAGGAAAGAGGGAGAGGAGGGTGAAGACACGTATGTGCGCGAGAAAATATATATACGGGTATGGCGGCGCGCGAGTGGAAGGCGGAAAAGGGGGACCGGAAAACGGGGGTCTAAGTAACAAACCTACTCTGTTACGTCGTGCCTCGTGCGTTTTACTCTTAAGGAACCGGGGAGTAACTACTCGAGGCTTTCAAGCTGCTACTTCATTTACACCTTATTCCTCTTCGCGCTCTATAACTTTTCCTAACCTCATCCCCGCTTTTCCGTCTTTCGCTGATGTCGAGATATACGCGACGATATTGTGCGACTTCGTCATTAGCGGGGCGTTAGATGTCCCAACTTAACCTAACCTAATCTAGTCTAGTCTAGTCTATTAATTACTCAAGAGTCTCCATCCTTTGTTCGAGCAAGTTTGAGCGAGAAATGTTAATTTATTCCAGTTCGTCGCGTGCGTCAAAGCGGCCGATGATGTCAATGACAGTAACGAGAGATTGGAGAGATGAAAAATAGATGACAAGGGTCTCTGGTGTGTACGCAACGTGACTTTGGTTAAGCGCAAAGTTAATTGAGACTCTCTGACAGGAGAGGACTCTGTATAAGGTAAGCGAGTGTGACGAGGAAGATTTTTGCGAGTTACAAGGGAAGATTAATTCGACGGTGAAAAAGATCTCCAGAAAAAGACAGAGATCCACTCGTTTTTATTCATTTCTACCGTTCATTGTCGAGCTACTCGCTAAATTTCTCGCTCCTTGACGAAGTCCTCCTTCAAGCTCGTTTTTTTATTTTCTTTCTTTTTTGGATAGGCACGAGGGCGCGATGGCAGCCTCCCTATTTTAGCGTACTATAATCTGCCGTATTAGCATAGATAACAGATCGCAATTCTAGCACGGTACAATCACGTGCGCTAGCATAGATAAGCGAGCGATTATAGCGCAGCATAATCCCGGGCTCTAGCGTAGTAGTATAATCTCGTAATTTTAGCGTAATATGATTCTGCGCCGACCGTACGTAATTCTGACATTATATAATTGCACGCGAGCGACTTTATGGTTGCGATGTACCTCACAATGATTTTCCTCGAATCGACATAAACCTAAGGACGTTTGTTTCTTTTCTGGAGATTTTGAATTCATCGATCTATAATATTGTTCAACAAAAAAATTAACCAAAATAAATTTAGTCGTTATAGTTTTTTGGATGCTGAGTGCGAATCTGGTTCCCAAATTATTCCATCACGTCACAATTGTGAAAAATTTTTAATTAAAAAAGGGCGTTTTTTATGAACTTTGTTATAATATAACAAAATTGTTATATTACAAGTATCTTATGAACCATAATCAACATCGAAAATTCCTATTGAAAGTCCTAACAATATATATTTTATTTTGATAGCAAAAAAAAACTTCTTTAGCACGTCATACATTGTAACTATAATATGACAAAGTTCGTGAAAATAGCTCTTTTTTGCAACTTTAATTGCATGTTTCTTAAAATTGTAACGTGATGGAGCAATTTTGAAGACATATTAATTCCTAAGTTCCCCTTTTACTCCCCTGAAGATCATTTCAGTATGCGAGAAAAATATATCGATCTGAAAAAGTCGACTGAATCGGGAATCGAACCCGAGTCTTTTAGACCAATATATTTTTCTCGCATACATCATTTCAGAAGGTAAAAGGGGAACTTAGGAATTAATATCTGAAGTAAAAGATTTATTCTAAATAAGTCTTAGCAATTGCTAAGCAAAATTTCGTGTCTCATGCACAATTATAAAAACAGCGAAAAATTAAATTTTTCACGGTCTTCACGCACATATATACATCCGCGTTCGGCTCTCATAACCTTTTTATATTTTCAATGTTATTGACTAATATAGGGAGCCTTATTTTAGTACTTTAATATTATTACTTTATTTTGATTGCAATAAAAATTCTTCAGCACGTAATATATTGTAGTTATAATATGATTAAGTTCGTGTAAATAGCCCTTTTTGCAACTTTAATTAAAAATTTCTCAAAATTGTGACGTGATAGAGCAATTTGGAAACCGGATTCGTATTCAGTGTCCAAAAAACTATAAGAAACGATTAGTCTCATTCCGGTGTTCGCAAAAAGTCGTTTTGTGGAACAATGTATAATCAACTGTAAAATTCCCATTTCAAATTTACAGAGTGTATACATCGACTGGCGTGCCAATTGTGATTTTTCTTTACTAAATAAATTTATCGTCCCATTGAATCATTCGTTAATTTTGAAGATACATATTGACAAACCAACAACGGTTAAGTTAATCGTATTTTGATAACAAATTTAATTATGAATTTCTCGATAATTTTCGATTAAACGTGTCAATTAATGTAATATTAATTCGCGCCAGTTTACCGGTCGATACGTCAATATGCAATCTTGTTGCGACGTAATTGGATGCGAACATCGAAATAATAATAAAACTCGTCGGCCGCGAAATTGAAATTTGAATAATTAGCATTTAGAATTAATATAGTTGCGCTAACAGAAAGAGAAACACACACAGTGAGAGAGAGAGAGGGGAGGTTCGCATTTATGACATGTGCAAACTAGTTCTTCGGACGTTTGTTATGCTTATTGGAGAGAGGGTAGTATAATAGTTCTGGCCGTCAAGATTATGCAGCGAGCTGGCAGTAATTTACTGTACTGATTATGAGACAGGCAAAAACTCGTATTATTGCATCGCGTGCCCGGTTCGTATAAGCTCTTTTATAGAATAGTTGTACGGTGTATGTGCGCTCATGACTTACGCTCCTATCTTCATTAAAGAGTATAATGTGTCTAACTACGCGAAAAGTGGCGTTTCGAGAAGAAAAGAAAAAACGAACGAAGCGTCTATCGCTTGAAATTACGATATTTTCTGACACGCTATGAACAATTATTCTGGAGAAAATTTCTAGAAAAATCACGCGACAATTATAACATTTTCCTAGAAAAAAATATATATCATGTCATATATAGGACGAATGTTTTTAAACATTATCGTTATATTTATTATAAATTTTAAGTATTTCGGCAAATATTTTAGTCGTCTATTCGATTTCAATTTTTGCAAACTAAATCCAAAAAACCTCTCCTCAAAGTTAAAAGTCGACCAGACTGGCAATCATTTATTATAAATAATTAGTTTAAATACAACGTTTCGGCTGTCATTGCAGCCCTTTTCAAGTAAATCAAATTAATACAGCTAATCAATTTCACTGCAAACCACCGACAATATTA